TGTTTTGAAACCGTGCGGTATCGATGGTTTAAGCGAAAAAATCTCTTACCAGAGTCTTAAACCAATAGGCCGCTTTCAGCAATATGAAATAATTGAATCATAGTTAAACCACAATTTCAGCATAATATACCCTACTACTGGCCGAATTACTTTATATTAAATGATAGCTTTTGACCTGACCCGTTGGTCGAATTACTTTATAGTGTATACTAAGGAACATGAAAATGTTTTTAACATAAATGGAGAAATTTTAGAACACGCAACTATACACTTTGGGATATATACGTTCTACTTGTTCCTAACATAAAGCTAAAAGGCATTCAATAAATACGATCAGTACTCGACTTTGATTATTTGATGATATAGTAGTATAGTACACTTTAACCAAGTACCATTAATGTTACAAATAATAAGTAAACTTATAAATTGTACATAAAAAATTTACTTTCAGGCTCTAGATGCACAGTTCAGATGCTGACGTGCGGAGACAGCGGCACACATCGTCACTCGGCCATTGTGGCCCGTTTTCAGGCTCTTGCAGCTCAAGGTTGGGAAGTCAAGTTATCTCATGTTTACAGTAAAGCCAATAAGTGTGTTGATTATCTTGCTCGTTGTTGTCACGTCCGGTATGTGGGGGTGCATAATATTTTGATTTTTAATCTTTTCTTGTATCCGCTCATTTTGTATAATTGTAAGGGGCTTTCCGAACCTCGTATGGTGTTAAATGAAAGCTAAAATGCTACACATCTGTTTACCAAAAAAAATTACTTTATTGATAGTTGACTTCAATCATCTTACTTGGCAAATAAGACTAATTGACAATTTTATGCAAGTATCCACTTTCAAGTTTCAATGCTACTTCTGATCTCTCCCAAACAAATGGGGTTAATTGCATGGTTGGTCACTGAAATTACAAAAAAAATTCAAGTTTGGTCAATCGAAATATTTAAATCCATTGGTGGTACTTCAGTTTATTGAAACCGTTCACGTTTGGTCACTCTCCGTCCAACTCCGTTAACTTTAGCTGATGTGGCAGTCAACTCTCAATGTTGACCGTTAACTTAGTGACGTGGCAATTAAAAATAATAAATAAAATAAACTTTAATCTATTTTAATATCCAACACATTTTTACCATAAAAAATAAAAATAAATAAATTAATATTATAACTATCAAGGATGGGCTGGGCAACGTCGACAGCCTTTGCAGCTTTATCGGCAGCCTCCTCCACTTTTTCCAGCATTTCCTTCAGCTCCTCTTCCCCTGTTTTCGGTGATGGGGAAGTTAAGATTGCGGATTTAGGACTGGCGAAAAAAACATGGGAAGCAGAAGAAAAACAGGGGAGGAGGGAGAAGAAAGTTGAGGTTCGTGGGAATCCTCTGTTCATGGCGCCAGAATCTGTCAACGAGAACGTTAACGAGCCGCAGTGTGATATTTGAGCTCTGGGCTGCGCCGTCGTCGAGATGCTGAAGGGGAAGAAGCCGGCGTGGAATTACAAGCCCGGGACGAACATCTTCTCGTTCTTGATCCGAAGCTGTCCCGGAGGAATCGTCGGCGGAATTGAAGGATTTCCTGTCCAATTGCTTCGTGAAGGATCCCGCGGCGAGATGGACCGTCGTAATGCTTCTTGAACATCCGTTCCTTAGCGCCGACGAAATCAGAAACGGAGACGAAACACGAAACGACGTTGTTTGCTGTTCGGGAGTGGAATTCCCATCGGTGTCCTCGCGGTGCCCGTTCAATTTCCCCGAGTGGGTGTCGTCGTCGGTCCAATCTTCACCGGCCATATAGGAATTCGAATCGAACCCGTTCGATTCGTTGAGCTGCTCCACCTCGCCGGCGGAAAGAATCCGGCAGCTGACGAGCGGCGAGTTGAGTTTGGGGAGATTCAGAGAGCTGGCTGGTAGTGAGGTGATGATGGAGATAGAGAAGAGAATTTTTTTTCCTTAGGGAAAGCAAGTTGGGCAGATATTTAGTAATTCTTATTTTTCTAATTTTAAATTAGGGTGGTGAGCAATTTTTGGTTGCTGGCTGGGTTTATTCATCTAACAAAATCAATTGATTCATTTATTTAATTATTTTTCATCTCCATATTTTTCATCTCCATCACCGAAAACAGGGGAAGAGGAGCTGAAGGAAATGCTGGAAAAAGTGGAGGAGGCTGCCGATAAAGCTGCAAAGGCTGCCGACGTTACCCTACCCGTCCTTGATAATTATAATATTAATTTATTTTTTTATTTTTTATGGTAAAAATGAGTTGGATATTAAAATAGATTAAATTTTATTTTATTTATATTGCCACGTCACTAAGTTAAAGGTCAACTTTGAGAGTTGACTGCCACATCAGCTAAAGTTAACGTTGTTGGACGGAGAGTGACCAAACGTGAACGGTTTCAATAAAATGAAGTACCACCAATGAATTTAAATATTTCGAGTGACCAAACTTGAACGTTTTTTGTAATCTCAGTGACCAACCATGCCATTAAACCTAAACGAAATTGTACAACAAGACATAAGTACAAATTGAATTTGTACAATAAGGTTAAGATACATGTTCAATTTATAGGAAAAAATCCCAAACTACATACGTTATTAAAAAATATTCCCAAAATACATACGTTATAAAAAAAATTCCCAATCTACACATGTTTGGGCTTCACCGCGGCTGTCAACCGCAGTGAATAACATCACTGCGGCCGTCAAAAGCGATGAACATAAAAGTACCAGTTGTGTTTTTTTTTTCATAAGTATTCTTTATAAATGAAATGATTGATACTAATAAGCATTATAGTAATAATGGAGGAAAATAGTTAAACTTACAATTCTACCCAATACCCCTAAAAGACTCTAAAGAAGCCACCCAAAAAATCAAAAGATTATACCTCGCTAAACGAGACAAAAGCAGTGCTTTACGCGCCACTCTATGGGCAGCACTGTTGGCGGATCTAGATACCGCCCTAAACTCTATACAAACAGACAAAGAGCTAAGGATCTAATGACACTCTTATAACACCGGACCACCAATCGAATCTTCTATGACGCCTTGACGAACTTGTTTGACGACAGCTTCGGAATCACCTTCGACTATTACGCGGGTCAAGGATCTTGAGGCTACGATGGAGAAAGCATCTCTAAAGGCTAGAAGCTCTGCCAGGTAAGAATTGACTATTCCTTGAAGTTGCAGCCCGAACGCCAACACCACATGCCCGTCTGACCCACGGATAACAAGCCCAGACGAACATCCGGTGACACAAACAGCAGCGTCGAAGTTGATTTTAAAAACATGGACCAACAAATGCCATTTTCGCATTAAGCACAGAGTATGAGAATGTCATTCACGAATGAGGCAATGCACTTTCACTTTGCCTTCCTTTTAATTCAAAGTTTTTTTTTTTAATTTACATTAAACAAGGCACAACAATAAAAAAATTATTATTATTATTATTATTATTATGAAATAGGATTATTACAAGTAAAACAAGCACACCAAGAAAATCAAAACATGGAAGTTACAAAAAAAAAAATGAGTACTTTAATTTAACTTATATCAATTAGGTTTTCAACTTACACAATTTTAAGAAAGCTTCTGTAGAGGTAATGAATAATTTTTTTCAAATATCATTATAAGTAGATATTTATTTTTAAATTTTGAAAATAGTATGAGTTATACAATATTGACAAATACTATTAATTTGTTTGGTTGTTTCTTTTCTAATTCATGGTATAAAAAATATTTAGATCTTATTTTTTTAGTGAAAATGGCACATAGTATACACATTGAAATGTATTATTAATTTATTTATTTTCTAATTAATATTAAACCTATCATGCTAGAAATTTGTAGTTTAGATATTATTTAGAGTAACATTAATCACCCTAAAAAATACAGTTATCATAATATTAACAAATATTTCCTTTTATTATTTTGATTCATTTTAGTGTCATTTTTTTGGCAATAGAGTAAGAACTTCGGCCTTCCCTGACGCAAAATCATGGCTGTTGCCCTATTTTAAAATATATAAATAGGCACCATAATAATATTTAGGAGATAAGTATTGCTGATAATATAGAAATTATGACAATAATTCAATCAATGACTTATTTAAAGTGTATAAAGTAATACTTAAAAAGTGTTATTATTGTTACTTTTTGGCAATCCCTAATTGTTGTATTTTTTTATTATGAACAATGCTTTTATTTATCATGGATGATGAGAATCATACTAATAACTGGAAAACCAGATGATGACAACTTCTCTCTACGCATTCATGTTGTGATAAGATTTTTAAATAAATCTCCTATTTTTCTTCACGAAGATTTTTAATTATGTATGTATTTTAGTAGGAGTAACATTCCTAGTTTTACTAACTATTATACCTAGGTAGCGTATGTTATACTTAACGAACCATATTTTACTAACTATTGTTACTTACAGTATTCCTACTAATTATTATATAAACATATGTTATATGTAACAACTGTTATATGAACCGTATTTTTACTCACTATTTTATGTAATGCATTAGACAAACTTATGTTTGTTATACGTAATTGTTATATGTATGTTATATGTTATTGTAAACACTTTTTTTAAGTGTTGCCGATAATATAACAATTATGACAATAATTCAATCAATGACTTATTTAAGGTGTATAAATTAATACTTAAAAAAAAAGTGTTGTTATTGTTACTTTTTAGCAATCCCTAATTATTGTATTTTTTTTTAATTATGAACAATGCTTTTATTTATCATGAAAGGATGATGAGAATCATCTTAATAACTAGAAAACCAGATGTTACAACATCACAAACCTGATTAACAAATACAAATAGAACACATCTGCTGCTTCTTGCGACAGGCACGTACGCCCACCATGACGGTGGCAACCTGCTGTTGATCATGGCGGGGCTGCTCGACCTAGTGGTCGTGTCGGTGGCTATGGCGTACATCACACGGTGTGTTCGAGCTTAGGTGCAGGGAAATTATCAGCCTCAGCCTCAGCCTCCAGTACTTCCACTTGTGCGCCCTCCGCCGCCTAACAGTTCTCGGAGCAAGACGAGCCGTCGAGCCGTCGGAGTGTTCCATTTGCCTAGAAGAATTCGAGGCTGGTGTGGACGTCCGACAGCTGGGGAGGTGTGGCCACGTCTTCCACTTAATCTGCATAGATAAGTGGCTAGACGGTCAGGCAACATGCCCGATGTGTCGGGGGACTGTCCTTGATTTCTATAGTTCTTTTTTATGCTTAATTATTATTGTTATTATTGTTATTATTATTATTATTATTATTGTCCTATTAAAAGAACAAGCAATGATGGTACTATTACTTAGAGTCACATCATAAGTGGTGCTCTTTCCGTAATTAACCAAAGCTTGGAGGAGTTTTGTGCCATTAATGTTCTAATTAATTAACTTTTGACAATTGAGCCCAAATTGAACTCAAATAAATGAGTAATATACCTACTTCCGATACTCTAACCTAGGGGTGTGCAATGGTTCGGTCCGTATCGGACCACACCGGACCAAACCGTTGTTAAGACCAGACCGAACCAGACCGAGTAAAATGCGGTCCGGTCCTTGGTCCTCATGAATTTTATAATTACTGAAGAAATGGTGGACCGAGCTCATATTTGGGCCGGACCGAACCGGACCAAATGGACCAAATGCAAGAATGATCCGGTCCTTGGTCTGAACATGTTTTTCACTAATGGACCGTGGTTCTCATGAGTTTGGTCCGGTCCGGACCGAACCGAACCGTTGCACACCCCTACTCTAACCCAAGTAGTACATAGTAGGACGTCTTCTGCCATCGTAAAACCATCTCCTCTGCCACCGGATGCCATTTGGTCACTTTCAAAAATGGAAAAGATTGGAAGGGCAAGAGTTGAGAGAAGTTGGTTTTTTGCTTGAATGAGTTGTGCAGAAACTAGTGGAAAACACTGAATATATAGAAAAAAAATTATGCCTGTTTTTTTATGCCCGTTAAAATATGACCGTTGAAATATGATCGTTATTTTGTCCGTATCTAAATTAAAATAACAACAAAAATGAAAGAAAAAAATAGAAAAAAAGGAAAAGTAACAAAAAAAGAAGGGTTCCGCCAAGAAAGCAATTTGTTCTTTTGCTCCCAATTGAGTGCAAATATGCCCCCATTTTTGCTCCAGTCTATTTTTGCTCCCTATTTTTTGCAAGATTGGAGGGGATGAAAGTGTATAAATACACTTATAGCCATTTGCTCCATAGTTGGAGTTAGTCTTAGAGGGTGGAGGACAAACGGAGGGCTGGTGGCCGGTGGAATCAGGGGGCAAATTGTGCAGGCGAAGGGCTGGCGACGGAGTTGTTTCTTGTAGTAATTATGATGCTTTTGCCAACACTATGCCTACAACAATAATTAGCAATTGTTTCTTGTACTCATTATGGTGTTTCTTTCTGATAGTTGGGTTGTTACCAATATTGGTTGCGTCTCCTGGTAGATCAAGTCTATTTGTATTTATAATCAGGTTTGTGATGTTGTAACATCTGGTTTTCCAGTTATTAGGATGATTCTCATCATCCTTTCATGATAAATAAAATCCTCGACGCCTCTCTTCCTTTCTTTTTATTGAAAAAATGAAAAATTAATTTTTGCTAATATTAAAAAAGCAGCCATCACCTTACCCTTTTAAATTCACATTTTTTTCCTCTCCTTTTATGTCTATTAAGTGTCGAGAGATTTGATTTGTAACATAATATAATTAAGAAATCTTTCAGAATATAAAATTTTATTGTGGTTCACTTTTAAAAAAATAAATTAAAAAATAAAATTTATGAATAAAATTATTATGTCCATTTTTAATTAATTAATTTTAAATTTAAATTTTAACTTATTTTTATCAACCGACACACTTATTCAAGAATCCTAGGTCGGCCAATGTTTGTATCGTAAATGAATTTGTACAACAAGATATACTACAAATTGAATTTGTACAATAAGGTTAAGACACATGTTCAGTTTATACCATTAAAAAATTTGTATGAAAACATAGGTACAACCTAAATTTATAGTCTAACATAAAAGTACCAGTTATGTATTTTTTACCATAAGTATTCTTTATAAATGAAACGATTGATTCTAATAAGCATATTATTAAATTTCTATGAATACAAAAGGTACTTATACTTAAATTTTCCTTAGTTAATGTAGTAAAAAACGTGGATCAACAATTGCCATTTTAGCATTAAACACAGAGTTGGACGGAGAGTGACCAAACGTGAACGATTTCAGTAAACTGAAGTATCACCAATGGATTTAAATATTTCAAGTGACCAAACTTGAACGTTTTTTATAATTTCAGTGACCAACCATGCAATTAACCTCAAACAAATGGCTAGCTACCACAATTCATATATGTTTACTAGAAAGCGGATCCTAAAAATAGGATCCAACCAGGCTAATCCGTCGAGTCAACCTTGTTCGTAATTCGAGTAAACTATAAGGGAACTATTTATAGTTCATTTAATACGTAATTCGATTGATTTGTAATCCGACTAACGTACAATTTGATAATTTCAAGCTGAATTGACCAACAACGCGATAAGCCCAATATCCGACCAATATACCTCTACTAGAAATGCAAGAAGGTAATCTTGCAAGAATGAAATGTGAGGATGGATAACTTTTGTATCGTAGGCATGAGACTCGCCCAATTACTTTGTTTTGTTTTTGTTTTGTCTTTCTATTTTTGCGAACCATGGATTGGCTCTCGTCTCTTCAATCAATTCAAAAGGTCAAGTTGCAATATTGAGACAAGTGGCCCGCTATGTTGAGATAAGAAATGTTCCTGCAGTCTCAACCTCTGTCATTTCATTTTCACCTTTCCGAAACAATTTGCAACCACATATTACATATATTATCAACAATTTCTCCATTTACATATAAAAAACACCTATAGCTTTGTTAAGGTTGAAATATCATATAGGCATGAGCAATTGAGCATGAGATAAAATTTGGGTCTTTTTCAAATTCAACTTTATTATGAATTAAATCAAGTTTTGGTGATATCATTTTTTTTGACAGAATCATTTCAAAATTTTATTTAAAATCAAATTAATCTCATTATATTGGGGTCTCAAGAAAATGAATACTCAATGCAGTATTTGCGAAACTGTATCGTGTCGGAAGTTTAAACTTATTAAAAAAAAATCTCCTACCAGAGTTTTGAACCAGTAGATAGTTTTCAGCAATATAAAACAGTTGAAACACGATTAAACCATTTCTTACCCTATGACCGACTTTTTCGATACAAATTTCAGTAGGGTTAACTTTTTGGGTATGCCTACTATGACATGCATGTCACCGTAACATGGACTTTTCGGTCGACCTAATCCTGAAGGCGGTCGACCGAATTGACTAATTTGGGCAGCACGAGAAAGCATTGCGGTCGACCTCAACGACCACCTAGTCGACCGCACTTAGTTTAAGTTGTTATTTTCGGTGGAAATCACGCATTAGGGAAGATGACGGCGAATGCTACATTAGGTCGACCTCACCTTAGACGTGGTCGACCACTTTCGACACGTATAACTGCAACCGCGAACAATCTTCTTCACAAAGGCTCTAAATCGAAGAAAAAAAAATTCCGACTTTTGGTGGCGTTGAAGGGGACTTATATTCGTATTTATAGAGATTTAGGACGTGAATGGGTCGACCCAATTCGTCTTCTTGTCCAATTGTGGAACCTTTCTGCTGTTGGAATCCTTATCCAATACGGATACGGTGTGCATGCAGTCGACCTCTTACTAATGAGGTCAACCTGATAGGTGCACAAGGGTCGGCCTATGAGGTATTTGGGTCGACCTTTCATTCTGTTATACTACCAAAGAGGTCGACCATTTTATGTAGACGGTCGACCGCGTCTCTGAACCTCACATAACTGAATTTGTCAATTTGGTCGACCGCTTTGTGGATTAGGTCGACCGAAAAGTCCATGTCACGGTGACATGCATGTCACCGTAGCAAAATCCTAACTTTTTACGGTGAGATCTGTTAAAAAGTAACATTAACCCAAACAGAATAAAAGCATGGTCGATTCATGAAAAGAAAAGCCAGTAGCTAGCTTCCTCAGTTCTAACCCAAGGATAGCCATGATCGACCTCCAGGGAGCTTCTTCCTCCCCCGCCATTTCCTGCTACCTCTTCCTCCCTCTCCTCTTCCTCTCCCTAACCTACCTAGCACTCAAATCCACAACCTCCGGCGGCCGCCGCGGCCGGAAACTCCCTCCCAGCCCGCCGTGGGGCCTCCCAATCGTCGGCCACTCCGGCCTCATGAAACCCCCAATCCACCGCACCCTCCACGCGCTCGCCCAACGCCACGGCCCCATCTTCTCCCTCCGCCTCGGCACCCGCCTCGCCGTCGTCGTCTCCTCCGCCTCCCTGGCCGAGGAGTGCTTCACCAAAAACGACGTCGCATTCGCCAACCGCCCCCGCCTCACCATGGCAAAACACATCCACTACAACTACACCACCATGACCCACGCCCCCTACGGCGGCCACTGGCGCAACCTCCGCCGCATCGGCTCCCTCGAGATCTTCTCCGCCCACCGCCTCAACGCCTCCCTCCCCATCCGCCGCGACGAGGTCCGCCGCCTCGTCGCCAAGCTCGCTCGCCGCAGCGACGGCGGCGCGGCGGTGGTGGACATGAAGTCGGCGTTCCAGGTATTAATTAGAGAATATGCTATATGTGGTACGAGTAGAATTTTTGTTATAGTATGACTGTATGAGTACTGTTATGTAGTTTGACAGAGTTATATTATAGAAATTGGATAAGTTTTTGTATTATTGTTAGGTAGGGATAATAATTTTGACCTTATTCGTTTTACCCGACCAGTTTGAATTGTTTTAGGACGGGACTAGTATGGGTAGCTCTCATCGTCCTGAGACCCGTTCTCGCCAAGATTACATTTAATTTTAGTCAAATTACTTAAGATTTTCCTTTTATTACCTCATAGTTTAACTTATAAATAAATGAAACCTCAACTTTTCCAATAATTTAACTATATTTATCATATTTTGTTTCTTGTTGGTCTTTTAATGAAGATAATGAATATTTCTAATATTTTTTCATATAAATGACGTACAATTGGGTCGTCCTGTCCGACCCGCGCTCCATGATAAATTACCTGACCCGAATTCGATCTGCCATATGGACATCGTGATACCCGCTCCGAACTTATCACATTGTCATTCGTACTAATGTTTTTATTCAATAATTTCCATCGATTTTTTTATTTATTTTCCCAAACACTAGGAGCTGACGTTCGACACGATGATGAGGATGGTGGCCGGGAAGAGGTTCTACGGCGACGA